CCCACTGGTGGGTTCCTCCTTTCCTGGGTGAGAGGAAGCCACAAGGACTGTGGTGGGTGGCCCTGGCCGTGTGGCACTGCATCCTCTCCAGCACACGGTGCCGACTCTGCCACCCTCCCCGCGGCACCGCTCACGTTGGCTTTGCAGTGCTGTGTGTGCCCGGGGGCTTAATGCTATCGATTAGCTGCTCCTTCTCCTTCTTACCTGTGTTACAGACAGTGGGGTGGGAAGAAAAGGCCACCGGCGTGTGGGTGCAGGGTGGGCGCAGGGGTGCTGAGCTGGTGGGTCGGGCTCTCATCCCAATGTGCCCCTGTGCTCCCCCATCTGTTCCCGCCGCGCTGGTGGGAAGTGGCTGTCAATCGACTGGAGCTCACGATGAGGGTTGATGATGCCTCAGCGGGCGCAAGGGGGATGTGGTTGTGAAAATAAATAAATAGTCGTCGTGCTTATCTTCGCTGTGGTGTTCCCTACAGAAAGTCCTACTGACTTGTCAGAGAACTGGACGCTGTTTCTTGGTGTTCGCTGTCCGACTAGAAAGTTTCAGCCTTCGTTTGACTTCCAGTCCAGTCGTTCCCAGCAGCAGCCCGGTGCCGTGGGGCTGGAGGAGTTTGCTACTCGGGTGTCTTGCCTCGTGCTGTGAGATGAGGCGCTGCTCGGCGAGCAGCCCCGCGGGAGCGCGCGGCTCCTGCTTCACGGCAATGGGGAGAGGTGAAACACGGTGTGAGTGCTCGGGGTTACGGTTGTCAGTATCTGCCTGTGCAGCGCCTGCCGTCCCTGAGGACGGAAGATCGAGGAGTTTTCCGCCAGCCCCAGTTTGATCTAATGTTTTGATGGTTTTACTTAGATAGGTATTTACATGGCTGTAACCATTTCGCTGCAGCTTGGTGTATCTTTGCCGTTTAATTGTTCCGCGATGCTCACGCTTTGGAGGAAAGCCGCATCCATCCACAGTTCAATTTTCAACCACAGACAAGCGAAAAAGGGTTTTAAAACCACCTTGCTGCGATCATCTCGTACCCGTTCGTCGTAATGGTTTAAATATGCTTGATGAGCATTGCTCTCTGAGGAATTTCTAACCCACGTAGTGCAAAAGCAGTATTTAACTCTGCTCAGAGTGTAAGTAAGGCTGGCGCGGTCGTTAAGAGCTCTGCTTATTTGGATAGCCCCCGGTCTAACAGCTACAGCCCGTCGGCCTCATTTCACAGCCTCTGCGAGCTCCCGGGTGCCGCGCGATGTACAGCCGTACCTGCACCGTGGGCTGTGTGCAGGAAATAATTGACACAAGTAGTGTCCAGGGCTGAAGTCTTTTCAAATAGAGAATGTGTTTGCTTCGATCCCTCACAGCGCAGGTCAGACTGCGGTGAAACACTGGTGTGCGTCCTCCCACCGGTACCGTCCCTCCGGCTGGAGCGGGCTGCGGGCACCCGGTGCCGTGCGGGGCGAGACACTGTCTGTGCCTCTGATGAGCAGAACTGGGGGAACCGGCCAGGAGAGATACAGCTCCTGAGCCTCCCTCCGCCACAGAGATCTGATCTTTACGCTGTTTAGATAGCGGGCTGTGCTGCCCGTGCTGCCTTGGCACGGAGCGTCCGAGCGCCGCAGGGACGGCCTCCCGCCTTGCCGATGTGCTGGGGGAGGCACATGCCGAAGGATGCTCTTGTGTCGGGCCGCTGCGCGTTCTCAAGCCAGGCTGGGATTTTGCCGCTCCACCGAGTCCCTTGCTCCTGAGCAGGGGGGAGAGCCGGGGCTGGCGGGGCCTCTGGGCAAGAGCTGCTGCTGCCTCCCCTCCCCTGTCCCAGGGCAGCCCGGGACAGCTCAGACAGACCATTTGGGAACAACTTTCCCTGCCCCGGGCAGCTGATCTCTGCCCCAAGCACTTTAAAATTTTGGTAAGTGCGGAAGCGCCCTGCAGACCAGCTGGTGTGCACCTAACGAGCCCAGGGACCCAGTGCTCTGGGCAGTATTGTCTCGCCCAGGTTAGTAAGGACTCAGGAGGTGGCGGTGGTGCAGAATGTGGTTTTCTGTGGTCTCCACTGGGCACCTCCCTGGGTGAAGAATGACCCTCCCAGGCCAAGTACAACGTGGGTACAATGAGCAGGTAGAGTGGTGTGCCTGGTTCTTGGTGTTTGTAGCTGTCACAGAGCTCTCTGATTAAGAGCTACCACTTCACTCTCTCAATTCCAGCAAATTCCATCATAAATTCTGTTTCAGATCTCCCATTTTGCCAAAGTGCTCAGATTTCTTGGCCCCTGGGTGCAGTGCCCCTGGGGAGGCTGTGCTGTGTTGCTGCTGCATCCGATGCACCCGACGGGAAGCCCCGGAGCAGGGCTGTGCGATGGGAGAGGGAGAGGGATGGGGGATGCTTCGGAGAACTGCTGTGCTGCTGCATTTCTGCCCCAGCAAGGAGATTTGCCTGTCTTCTCCTTGTGTACGTTCTCCAAAGCATTATCATGTAAATGACAAGGTAATGGGAGACATTTGGCTTTTTTTGGCTATAAAATGCACACAGCAGAACTAATCAATTTCAAATGATCGTCATCAAACCATTGCCACAGAAATTAAAAAAAAAAAAAATATTTTCCCGTTTTCATTAGTCGCTTACATTGTGCTAAAGCAGCTCAGTCTGTAACCCTTGCACGCTCGGCAGCCCTTTGGCAGCCCGGCCCGAGCGGGCGGCACTGGGCTCACCACCACGCAGTGCCATCTCTGGGAGGCCATCGCGCTGGTCTGGGACGTGCCGGGGACCCGCGGGGTGTACTGGCTCGGAGGGGCTTGATTTGTGTCACGCTCAAAGTACCACCCTGCATGAAGAAGGAAGGGCTTGGCTCAGTCTCCCGGCGAGGCACGGCCGGGCTCGGGCCCCCAAGTCACGGTGCAGTCACGGTGGTTCCCCTGGGACAGGCAGCGCCAGTGCCAGGGCTGCGGGGTGCAGGGGCCCAGCTGGGCATGGGGACGGGCGCTTGCGGCACGGCCGCACGGAGTCTGCAGAGCCGCTGAGCCAGTCGCAGCACCAGCCAGCGCGAGCACTGCCGGCACCTCTGCCTGCTCAGTTCCACAGATAGTTTTTGCCATGGCTTTTCTCAATTATTTGC